TTAATGAATCTAAGAATTTGAAAATTTCAATTCAAATCGACTCAGAATTAATATGAATCCAGTATATTTTCCCCATTCCTAGGAGGACATTTATGTTTTTGCTTTATGAATATGATATTTTTTGGACATTTCTAATAATATCGATCTTTATTCCTATTTTGGCATTTCTAATTTCTGGAATTTTAGCTCCAATTAGGAAAGGGCCAGAAAAACTTTCTAGTTATGAATCCGGAATAGAACCGATGGGCGATGCTTGGTTACAATTTCAAATCCGTTATTATATGTTTGCTCTAGTTTTTGTTGTTTTTGATGTGTGAAACAGTCTTTCTTTACCCGTGGGCAATGAGTTTTGATGTATTGGGGGTATCCGTATTTATAGAAGCTTTCATCTTCGTGCTTATCCTAATTGTTGGTTTAGTTTATGCATGGCGAAAGGGAGCATTAGAATGGTCTTAATTCTTGAATATTTAGACAATTAAACAAAACATTGAGACAGTTATGAATTCCATTGAGTTTCCCTTACTTGATCAAAAAACCAAAAATTCAGTTATTTCTACTACATTAAATGATCTTTCAAATTGGTCAAGACTATCTAGTTTATGGCCGCTTCTCTATGGTACTAGTTGTTGCTTCATTGAATTTGCTTCATTAATAGGATCGCGATTTGACTTTGATCGTTATGGACTGGTACCACGCTCTAGTCCTAGGCAGGCAGACCTCATTTTAACAGCGGGCACCGTAACTATGAAAATGGCTCCTTCTTTAGTTCGATTATATGAGCAAATGCCCGAACCAAAATATGTTATTGCTATGGGAGCCTGTACAATTACAGGAGGTATGTTCAGTACCGATTCTTATAGTACTGTTCGGGGCGTGGATAAGCTAATTCCTGTGGATGTATATTTGCCGGGCTGTCCACCTAAACCGGAAGCCGTTATAGATGCTATAACAAAACTTCGTAAGAAAATATCTCGAGAAATCTATGAAGATCAATTTAGTTATCAACGAGAGAATAGGTGTTTTACTACCAACCACAAATTTTATGTTGGACGCGGTACTCATACCGGCAATTATAATCAAGGATTATTCTATCAACCATCATCTATTTCAGAGATAACCTCTGACACATTTTTGAAATATAAAAAAGTTCAGTATCCTCCGACGAACGAAAAAGTGAATTAAACAGGATCCTTTTGTACAAAATACAATAAGAAATAGCAAGCAAGTCAATCTTCAAAAATTTCATTGTAATGTAAATAAATGGTAAATACTTATACCAATCTTATAAAAAACTCGGGAGAAGTAAAAAAATGCAAGGTAATTTGTCTGCTTGGCTAGTCAAACACGGAATAGTTCATAGATCTTTAGGTTTTGATTATCAAGGAATAGAGACTTTACAAATAAAGCCCGAGGATTGGCATTCGATTGCTGTTATTTTATATGTATATGGTTACAATTATCTACGTTCCCAATGTGCCTATGATGTAGCACCAGGAGGACTATTAGCGAGTGTCTATCATCTTACGAGAATAGAGTATAGTCTAGATCAACCCGAAGAGGTATGCATAAAAGTATTTACCCCAAGGCAAAATCCGAGAATTCCTTCTATTTTCTGGGTTTGGAAAAGTGCAGATTTTCAAGAAAGGGAATCTTATGATATGTTAGGAATCTATTATGATAATCATCCGCGTCTGAAACGTATTTTAATGCCCGAAAGTTGGATAGGATGGCCTTTGCGTAAAGATTATATCGCCCCCAATTTTTATGAAATACAAGATGCTCACTAAATGATAAAAATCAGAAAGTAATCTGAACTTCGACAACCCCAGATATTAAAGAAATATCTGTATGTACATTTTCTTTTTCTTATAGATTAGACAGAATAATAGAGGTTTCATTCCTAATCTTATTCTAGATTAGGATGGTATAAATAAGAAAATTGAGAAATAAAAAAGACAATAATATAGGGATTAATTGAGATTCCAAAATTGGATGGAGCTATACTTATTTAGGACGAGCCAATAGGATGAACTGAAAAAGTTCTGCATCATTAACTATGTAAGATGCACATCAGCATCAATTCATACCTTTTTTATTTTCATTATAGATATTTTTATTTTCATTATATATATGATATTTACAACTTTAGAGCATATATTAACTCATATATCGTTTTCCGTGATATCAATTGTTATTTCAATTCATTTGATAACCTTATTAGGCAATGAAATCGTAGGATTATATGATTTGTCCAAAAAAGCCATGATAATAAGTTTTTTCTGTGTAACGGGATTGTTAATTACTCGTTGGTTTTTTTCGGGACATTTACCATTTAGTGATTTATATGAATCCCTAATCTTTCTTTCATGGGGTTTTTCAATTTTTCATATGGTTCCTTTTTTTAAAAAGGAGAAAAACCTTTTAAGTACAATAATTGCACCAAGTGTTATTTTTACCCAAGGCTTTGCGACTTCGGGTCTTTTAACCAAAATGCATCAATCCGTAATATTAGTACCCGCTCTACAATCCCATTGGCTAATGATGCACGTAAGTATGATGATACTGGGCTATGCAGCTCTTTTATGTGGATCATTATTATCAGTGGCTATTTTAGTCATTACGTTTCAAGAAGTCATCCAAATTCTTGCTTTTACCAAGAATTTGGATTCTTTAAAAAAATCAGTTGATTTTGTTGAAATCAAATACATGAATAGGAATGAAAGAAACAATGTTTTACGAAAAACTTCTTTTTCTTCTTCTATAAATTATTACAGGTCTCAATTTATTCAACAATTGGATCGTTGGGGTTATCGTATTATTAGTCTGGGTTTTCTCTTTTTAACGATAGGTATTCTTTCAGGAGCAGTATGGGCTAACGAGGCATGGGGTTCCTATTGGAATTGGGATCCAAAGGAAACTTGGGCCTTTATTACTTGGACCATATTCGCGATTTATTTACATACTAGAAAAAATAAAAAATTAGAAGGTGTAAATTCTTCAATAGTGGCCTCTATAGGATTTCTTATAATTTGGATATGTTATTTGGGGATCAATCTATTAGGAATAGGACTACATAGTTATGGTTCATTTACATCTAATTGACTAAAAATGAGTAAAGAACCTGAGAAAGAAAAATATGGAAAGCATATAAATATATACGTTCCATAAATCGTTGAGAACCCTTTCAATCAAGTAATGTAATGATTCAAGGGGTTCTCACAAACAACAAACATATTCGATTATCATTTCAAATTTTGAAGTGAATCTAACGGAAAAATCTTTTTTTTATCTTTTTGATTCATTTATTCACAAAAATCATCCATCAAAAATTAGATAGAATAGCTTCAACCTTGTCAACCGAAAATGAGAAAATGAAATCTGGATAAATACCAATACCTATTATGGGTATAAGAATTGAAATCGAAATAAATAATTCTCTGGGCCCTGAATCAAAAAAAGAAGAGTTTGGTGTATTAAAAAATTTGTATCCATAGAACATCTGCCGTAAGATAGATAATAAATAAATAGGAGTTAATATAATTCCAATTGCTGTTACAAAAGTAATTAGTATTTTCATCATGAAAAGATATTTTTGACTAGTAATTATTCCAAAAAAAACTATCAATTCTGCAACAAAACCGCTCATGCCAGGCAATGCAAGAGAAGCCATTGATAAGATAGTGAAAATAGTGAATATTTTTGGCATTGGGATAGCCATTCCGCCCATTTCGTCAAGATAAAGAAGACGCAGTCTATCATAACTAGTTCCTGCCAAGAAAAAAAGGGCAGCGCCAATAAATCCATGAGATATTATTTGTAAAATGGCCCCGTTGAGACCAGTATCACTTATAGAATTTATTCCTATAATTATAAAACCCATATGAGATACCGAAGAATAAGCTATTCTTTTTTTTAAATTACGTTGACCAAAAGATGTTGAAGCGGCATAGATTATTTGAATAGAACCTAATATCATTAACCAGGGGCAAAATATGGAATGAGCGTGGGAAAAAAATTCCATATTAATTCGAACCAACCCATACGCTCCCATTTTTAATAAGATTCCGGCTAAAAGCATACAAGTGCTGTAATGTGCCTCTCCGTGGGTATCTGGTAACCATGTATGTAAGGGTATAATCGGCGATTTGACAGCAAAAGCAATAAGAAATGCCGTATATAATATTATTTCTAGTGCCACGGGATACGATTGATTAATTAATGTTTCAAAATTTAATGTTGGTTCATTAGAGCCATATAAACCGATACCCAGAATTCCCATTAATAAAAAAATAGAAGCTCCTCCAGTGTACAAAATAAACTTTGTAGCTGAATACAAACGTTTCTTTCCCCCCCACATGGATAAAAGTAGATAAACGGGAATTAATTCCAATTCCCACATGATGAAAAAAAGTAAAATGTCTCGAGAAGAAAATGGTCCGATTTTGACCGCTATACATTGCTAACATCAGGAAATAGAATAATTGGTATTCTCGAGTAACCGGCTGAGCCGCTAAAGTGGCTAAAGTAGTTATAAATCCCGTCAGTAAAATAGGTCTATAGAGAGTCCATCTATTCCTAATCTCCAGTAAAAATCAAAAAAATTGATCCATTTAGAATTCTCCGTCAGTTGAATTTCCAGTAAAAATCAAAAAAATTGATCCATTTAGAATTCTCCGTCAGTTGAATTAGTGGATCATCCAATTGGAAATGATAACAAAATGCATAGGTTGTTAGAAGGAGATCGATTAAGCATATACAAATGCTATACCACCTAATTACCTTATTTCCCCTATGAGGAAATAAGAAAATGAAGGAACCTGCGGCTATTGGGAAAACAACAACTATTGTTAACCAAGGAAAATCATTCGTGATAAAAATAAGATACACTTGGGCCAGAAAAGCCCGTGCTCAAAATCAAATAGAAAATTTTTTTCTATTTGATTTTGAGCACGAGTTTTTGCCAGTAAAAAACGTATTCGTGTGGTGTTTTTTGAAACGTATCAATAAGCTAGACCCATACTTCGAGTTGTTTCATGCCATAAATAAACTCGAATACTTAAGAAATCTGTCGGACAAGCGGACTCACACCTCTTACAACCAACACAGTCCTCTGTTCTTGGGGCAGAAGCTATTTGCTTAGCTTTACATCCATCCCAAGGTATCATTTCTAATACATCTGTGGGACAGGCTCGGACACATTGAGTACATCCTATACATGTATCATAAATCTTTACTGAATGTGACATTATATCTATAGTAATTTTTGATGTTCAAAAATGAAAATTATCGATCTAGTAAACTCGTAAATGAATCGTATATTTATATACCAGATGAATCAATGATTTGTGATAATATTGTTAACTGTTAATAAAAAAGGCGTCTAGATAAATTTAGAAGAGGAAATAGAAGAGGACCAGGATACTTTGATTTCTTATGATTTAGGGAATGCAAACATGATATGATCATAAGTTGTGTCGAATAAATACTAAAATGAATTGATTAATATTACACTATTTGAAATTCTACTTTGTTTCTTTTTTATTAATTATGATATGATTCATGCTATTTATTCAACAAATTCGATTGATTGATACGGGTTGATTTTCTGTTACGAGCAATTGAGGAAACAATAGCCAGTCCGATAGCCGCTTCAGCGGCTGCAATAGCTATAACAAAAATTGAAAAAATATTTCCTTTTAATTGGCGATTATCAAAAAAATCAGAAAAAGTGACTAGATTTATATTCACTGCATTCAATATAAGTTCAAGACACATAAGGGCTCTAACCATATTTCGGCTCGTGATCAATCCATAGATACCAATAGAAAATAAATAGGCACTCAAAACAAGTACATGTTCGAGCATCATTGACCAACTCCTTATCAATTTTGATTCATTTCAATATGAACAACAATTCAACAGATTCAATTGACTAAAGAATATAACAAGTCTGCAACAAAAGAATATATTGGCAATAAAAAAAAAGAATTTCTACCTAAAAACTCTTTCACTTCACATTGAAAAAAAAAAAATACATATATATATATAGTCTTGATTTATATTAGTAGTTCTCTAAAGATTTCTTACTGGCGAGCTACGACAATTGCACCTATCAAAGAAACTAAAAGAATTATTGAAATTAGTTCAAATGGAAGAAAAAAATCTGTTGATAAATGAATTCCAATTTGTTGACTAGTACTTATCAAATCTTGTTCAATAATCTGATTTGGTCTTGTAGTCCAAATAATTCCGTACCATGATGTATCTGAAATAATAGTTATTAGTGAAACAAAAATACTTGTACAAACTATCAAAGTAATTCCATCCCCTATGGTCCAAAGATGAAAATCTTGGTAATATTCGGAACTATTCATGAACATCACAGCAAATATGATTAAAATGTTAATAGCTCCCACGTAAATAAGTAGCTGTGATGCAGCTACAAAATGCGAGTTTGCTAAAATATATAAGAAAGAGATACAAACAAGAACCAGTCCCAACGAAAAAGCAGAAAAAATGGGGTTGGTAAGTAATACTACTCCTAAACTTCCTAATATAAGACCCGATCCCAGAAAGACTAAAAGAAAATCGTGCAGCGTTTCAGGCAAATCCATTATATGTAAAAAAAAAAAAGACAAAGAAATCGAAATTTCATGACCTTATTGATATGACCAGGAAAAAATTGTTATATACTTAAATTTTTCTTTGCATTGAAAAAACCTAAGTAGTTTAAATTGATATAGTTACGGTTATATAATCAATGTCATTCCACTTAAACTACTCTTTATACGAAAGAGTAGTTTGAAACGATATTAAAACTAAAGTATAAAGGTAGATAGAACATATATAACCATTTGAACTAGTCTTTAAATTAAAGAATATTTCAAATTTCGATAATATATTTCTCTATTCTATTTAAGAATATATTTCTCTAATAATTAGAGAATATTTCTAATCCAATATCGATTATATGATTCATTTTTTATACAATTTTTGAAAATATTTTATTTCGATTATTCTATATATTCTATATATATTCTATATATATATAGAAATCTATATATATATAGAATATTCTTTTTTTTTTTAGAATTGTATTTTATTAAATTATAAAAAATTGTCTTTTTTTATTTGATTTGAATTGTTCGAATTGTATAATCATCAATTATTGACATTGGTAAACGGCCCAAAGCAATTTGATTATAATTCAATTCATGACGATCATAAGTTGAAAGTTCATATTCTTCAGTCATTGATAAACAATTTGTTGGACAATACTCAATACAGTTACCACAAAAAATACAGATTCCGAAATCAATACTGTAATTTAGCAATCGTTTCTTTCTAATATCCGTTTCCATTTTCCAATCAACAACGGGTAAATCTATAGGACATACACGAACACATACTTCACAAGCAATGCATTTATCAAATTCAAAATGGATTCGACCGCGGAAACGTTCTGATGTGATTAATTTTTCATAAGGATATTGAATAGTTACAGGTAAACGATTTGCGTGAGATAAGATAATCATGAAACTTTGACCAATGTACCTTGCAGCTCGGACTGTTTGTTGACCATAATTCATGAACCCAGTTACCATAAGGAACATATCGTAAATATCTATGAATAGTTTTGTTTTATTTCTTTCTCTTATTTGAGACAAGTAATGAATATAGAAGATCCATCTTTTACAGCGAAAACAATTGAGACGAAGTTGTTAATAATAGATTACCGAGAGAAATAGGTAAAAGAAATTTCCATCCAAGATTTAATAATTGATCCATTCTTAGCCTAGGCAAAGACCATCTTGTTATGATAGAAACAAATAAGAAAAAATAGCTTTTAGCTAATGTAATAAAGAGATCAATTGTAGTTCCAAAAACTCCGTATGTTTTATTTATTTCAAAAAATTCAGAAACAAATATGTACGGAATAGAGATATTTGAACCGCCCAAGTAAAGAACTGTTACAAATAATGAAGAAATTAAAAGGTTTAAATAGGAAGCAACGTAAAATAAACCAAATCTAATACCTGAGTATTCTGTTTGATAACCAGCTACTAATTCTTCTTCTGCTTCTGGTAAATCAAAAGGTAATCTTTCACATTCTGCTAGCGAAGAAATTAGAAAAACGATGAAACCCATAGGTTGACGCCACAAATTCCAACCCCAAAAACCATATTTTGCTTGCGCATCAACTATATCAACTGTACTTAAACTGTTAGATAATCCTAGTCGGTGATAACATTACTGTTCCCATCTCTATTACAGAACCGTACATGAAATTTTCACCTCATACGGCTCCTGGAAAGCCTTAAGTAAATCTAAGGACCGGGTCAATTATTTCTCTCTTGCTATATCCCTAAGATATAGAAGATGAAAATAGATCGAACGGTTCTGAATTAGACCAATTCAATTCTGTCTGTTCTAGAAATAACGAAATAAGAAAGAGAAATATAGTTTAATAAAAGATCCAATGTAAGGCACTTCTGAATTGATCTCATCCCTCAAAAATAAAAATTTGTTGAGTAATAACTGAATTCTTCAATAAAATACTCTTTTATAATTCTCAATAGCCCTCATGATTTTGAATTACGAAAAAGAATTAAACATTCGTTTCTTAATTATGATTTGATCTCCATGAATATGGATATGGATATAAGAAATCAAAAACGAAAAATAGATTTCTCTTTCGTTTTTGATTTCTTATGTTTTTTTTTTCGTTCCTATTCTTCTTTTTTGTGCTATGAAAAAGGGACTTAAAAAATTTTAAAGGATTTTTTCGTTCCTGATAGTCATTTATTTAATGAGTGGATGGAAGCATACTCTGGATCGGAGTTGTGGGGAGTACTGCTTTATTTTTTCTACCAACTTAAAGCCCCAATTAGTATTCTTTTTATATTCTGCGTAAATTGTCTTTTGGATAATTTACAAAATCTGTGTTACTAATCCTTTGTGTATCTTGGTGTTTCTAACCATCCACTCTTTTTTATTAATCCCCCTTATTTATTTTAATATATCTATGAGAATTCATAAAAATGGTAACTAAAACTCAATAAGGTTGGTCTTTAGAGCCCGCTTCAAAACAGGATGACAAATTATCCAATCTTGGGTTAAATGGCCTCTTCTGTTTATAATTTTATTTCATTCTTATACATAGAAAATGAGACTCAATATTTTTACTGCCATTAAAAATCATCATACTATCTATTAACTAGAAGTAAGAAAGTATTCTGAAATTCTATTCAATATAAGCTGTTTTATTTCACTCATATAACTATCTAATTTAGTTCTTCAATCGGAGAAAAATAAAGATAATGAAGGTTTCTATTCAATTGATTCGCCTCCTTTCCTATATAGTACTATAAAGAGAGGAGCATAGCAATAGCATCGAATAACTTTTTTGGTTTCAACGAATCGCACGTAGAGATATTGATAAGACACATAGAGTTAATGGTATTTCATAACTAATCGATTGAGCAGCAGCTCGTAGACCACCCAAAAAGGAATATTTATTATTTGAGCCATATCCTGACATAAGAAGTCCAATGGGAGCAATACTCGAAATAGCAATCCATAAAAAAACACCTATCTTGAAATCAGATAAAACAAAGTTATAGCCAAAGGGAATTACTGAATAACTTATTAGAATTGATATTATTGATATGGATGGTCCAATACTGAATAAACGAATATCTCCCCTAGATGGAATAAGATTCTCTTTGAATAGTAGTTTTGTTCCGTCTGCTAGAGCTTGAAGAATTCCAAAAGGACCAGCGTATTCAGGTCCAATACGCTGTTGTACCCCTGCTGATATTTCTCTTTCTAACCATACAATTGCTAGTACACTTATTGTGATTCCCAAGATAAGAATCAAAATTGGTACAAGTATCCATAGAATTCCATAGACCTCTTTGAAAGATTCCAATCCGGAAAAGGAGTTTATATCTTGGACTTCCGTTGTATCAATTCTCATTTCAACGATCAACTTCTCCCATAATGATATCTATGCTACCTAGTATTGTCATAATATCAGCCAATTTCATTCTTTTAACTAATTGAGGAAGAATTTGCAAATTGATAAAACCAGGTGGACGAATTTTCCATCTCCAAGGAAAACCATTCTGATCTCCTATTAGAAAAATTCCTAATTCTCCCTTGGGGGCCTCAACTCTCACATAAAGTTCTTGTTTCGGCAATTCAAAAGTAGGAGACGATTTTTTACCAATGAATCGATATTCAA